ACATGACCCAGTTAGAACTTGGAGGAACCGCTTTGATTTACCGGCTCCTGACGAAGCTACAAAATCTATTTAGTTCAAAGAAGGCTAAATCGCCAGGAGGAATGTCAAAATTGTTTCATTTTATGCCTCATCTCTCAAGAAAAGTGATGCATAGAGCCCTCTCCACGGAATATCTAATATTGGTCGGAGTTCTAGCCCAGCAGGTCTCCCCTGCCTCGATCTGCGGCCTGTGGTACTAGCTAAAAAGATTAGTTTGTGTCTAAAGAGTTTTGCCTTCAAATTGAAGGAGATTTGACTAGTGCTGCTGCCATATCGATTGCTGGGTGAGCGTTACCATGAATTCAGATGGTTTTCCATTGCACCTGTTTGCGGGCGTGCGAGCATTTGCTGTGTGTTACGTTGGCTGCTGTTCTGTGTCACTCTCACAATATTTTCAGTTAATTTACTTTTTACATTCCCATCCCAGTCCCCCCCCCTCCTCCTGCTCCTCCCACTTGCCCCCTCCACCTCCCATCTGCTCCTTGGAGAGGGTAAGGCCTCCCCTAGGAAGTCTACTAAGTCTGTCCCATCATCTCGTTGAGGCAAGACCAATGCTCCTCTCCACCCCCACACCCTTGTGTCCAGGCTGGGCAAGGGATCTCTCCATACAGAATGGGCTCCACTAAGTCAGTCTGTGCATGAGTGTTAGGTCTTGGACCCACTGCCAGTGGCCTCATACATTGTCCCAGTCACACCATTGTCACCAAGGGAGTCTAGTTCGGTCTTATGCAGGTTCACCATTTGTCAGACCAGAGTCAGTGATCTCTCACTAGTTCGGGGCAGCTCATATTATTTTTTTGAGACCATCTCTCACTGATCCTGGGGGCATGCTGATTCAGCAAGACCAGTGGTTCTCAACCTGTGGGCCATGACTCCTTTAGGGGCCAAATGACCCTTGTTGCATACATATCAGACATTTACATTATAATTCACAATAGCAACAAACTTATGAAGTAGCAATGAAATAATTTCATGGTGGGGGGGGGGTGTCACCACAACATTGAGAAAGGGTATTAAAAGATTCCAGGATTAGGACGGTTGAGAACCACTGAGCTAGGTTGTCTGAGCAGGAATCTCCTGTGTCTTTCCGGAACTTAAATTACAGGCACATACTGACACACCAGGTTTCTTAGCATGAGTGCTAGGGATCAAACTCAGGTCCTCACCCTTGCCAGCAAGCATTTGAGTCACCAAACAATCTCAAAAATCCAGTCTCCAATTGTTCATGGTGGTGGACTAGAGACTGCCCTTGGTGAGTTAGTTGTTGATTCTGAGAAGGCTGTGTGCTGTAAGGTTGGGCAGGGGTGAGGGGAGATAAGCAGAGTGTGCCTCTGCACTGAGGGCAAACATTGGAAGAAAAGCCACAGTTGGTGAAGTGTGGCTGAGGCAGCCACGGTGGACGGTGTCTGGGGGCAGTGGTCAGCGCCCAGAGGCTCTGTGAGGCAGCCCAAGTGTTCTGGAACAGTTTGAGTCAGGGAGTGGGCTCCTGCTGGGGTCGCTTTATTGATAGGCTGGGACTAGTGGGCCAAGCTCATTAAATGACACTGGATTCATCAGACAGACATATGCAGGTGCATATCAGGAGGTTGAGTTGTTAGCCGCAAGCTCGATTTTCCCAGCATGCTCATCACGGTGCTTTTATTTAGGAAAATGTTGCCCTGTGGAAGGCAGTTTGTATCATTACTTGAGTTATCACCAGGGTTGCTCTTCTTCCAGTTCTGGCAATCCTCTGAGGTTCCAGGGAATAAAACAAACAAACAAACAAACAAATAAATAAATAAATAAATGCATTTCCTCCTCTCCCCACAGGGTAATTGGTTTATGTATAATTTAATTATTTCATCAACTAGTTAGCCCATGTCTGTGTTGAAAAACAACCTTAAGCCACCGTCCCTTTGTGGGTTAAGGTCTTTATCTGTTTCTCCACCATTCCAATTGCATGCGTAGCTGAAATTGCTGCCTAAAAGCTCGACTGGACCACTCCATTTCCCATATTTGCAGAGGTGTCCTTGGAGGCAGCAGAAGGGTGATTTAGAGAAAGAGGAACTAAGGAAACGATGTGGCTCCAAAGAGGAATTACAGCCTTGAGAGCTCTCTAGTGAAGTCATGTTTTAGATCACCTTGGACTGACTGTTTTCATCGGAGTGAGTCTTCGTGGGGTGGAGGAATGGGAAGGGTGGGCATTCCTTATCAGTATCTGCTCACACCCCGGTGTCATCGTTCAGCTGATTTTCTTTCCTCACAGACTTGCTTCCCCTTTCCCCATCCTGTTTCTCACGGGGAGATGTGTTTTTCATCCTGACAGGTTCTATATAGACTTCATTTATTCAGGGCGGGGAGAGTCTTGATCGGTAAAGTGCCTGCTGCTCACGCATGACGACCTGAGTTGGGATATCCGGCACCTACGTAAGCAGCTGAACACAGGGGCCTGCACCTGTAACCCCAGAGCAGGGCAGGCAGAGGCAGGTGGAGCCCTAGAGCTTGCTGGGTAGCCAGTCTGATGAGCAAATGAGTTCCAGGTTCACTTAGAGACCCTGGAGTGGGGGGCGGGGGGAGAGAGACAGCGACAAAAAGAAATTAAAATTAAGGAGGAAGGCATCCAACATTAACTTCTGTCCTCCACATGCATACACATATGGGCACACCTACATGTACACATGCACACACATGGGGGCACGTACATATGTCACACAAAGGAAATGTAGCCGAGTGGGTGAAGATAAATGAACTCAGTTGTGTGTTTGTTCATGAGGATTCTTGCCATCCATGCCCAATGCGTGTTCAGGTGAGGGCCTCCTCGTCAAGCGAGGGCCCATCTGAAGCCTTCACGTTATAAATATGCTTTATTGTTTTGTTGAGACCACTTAGTAAAACTGAATTGGTGCCTATGAACAGGGAGCACAGAGGCGTGTGACGTCTCTGGGACCAGCTGAGGGGTCTTGCTTTGCTGGGCTCCTTTTCCACTCATTTCCCCTGAGTTGTGGAGCTGTTCCTGTTGTGGTACCATTGAAGGGCCCACAGTAGTTTAGACCATGGGCCTCCTAGGCAGGTTAGTGTTCTCCTTTGTGAGTGAAAGCATTCAGCTTTGCCTGTGGGGAGAGTCTCTGGGTGACTGCAGTCACTCAGGGACATCGCAGGCATCTAATTTTACCCCACAGGAAGAACAGAGGACATGGCACTTTCCTGCCACCCTTGAGCCTCATTACCCTCGATTCCTCTGCTTCCGGACCTTCTTCCATAGCAGACGGCTTCATGCAAATATGGCCAACTATTTTTGCTCATAGTAAATATCACCTTGCATTATGAGTAAATTCTGAAACTGGCATGTTTCTTTGAAAACCCACCCAGACCTCGAAGATAGATCATTTTGTCTGACGGCTCCACCCATGCCCAAGGCTGTGGTTGTCTGACTCAGTGACCATCCGTGGATGCCGCTCTGTAAAATCTTACAGGTCTCCCTGACTGAAACGCAGTGATTCCCAGGGCCAGCTCTATTAGTAAAGGGATGACCATGTTATCTCTGAAATTCCATAGCTGTTTTAGGTAAATAGGCCAAATGTTAGTATCACTCAATGTATGTGTTCTTTTTCCTTTCCTAGAATTTTTTATTTAATTATGCATATATGAAAAGGGGGTAATATGTGCATGTGAGTTCAGTTCCTTTGGAAGCCAGACTAGGGTGTCATATGCCCTAGATCAGGGGGTGGGGGGTAAATGATGGTTAAATGATGGTTGTGAGCTTCCCTGTGTGGGTGCTGGGAACTGAACTTGGATCCTGTGGGAGTTCGGTACTCTATCTTAACCTCTGAGCCATCATCACTCAAGCCCCTTCCTGGAATCTCTCCAATCTCCTTCCTAATAATTATAACAAAATTATTAATTTCTTTGATCTCTTTGGTAACTTTCCTTGAAGGAAGTTCTACAAATCCAGTACTTTTGTGCCTTTCTTCCTTCCCTCAACAACCGTCAGGTGTGTTCATCCTCAGCCTGTAAATCACATACACTCAAGACAACTATGAGTGCAACCTCACACAAAATCATTAGAGCATCATGAGGTGTGTGCGTGTGTGTGTGTGTGTGTGTGTGTGTGTGTGTGTGTGTGTGTTACTACTTTTTGCTTGTTTGTTTTGTAATTCAGTGGTGAGGTTCTCCAGCATGAACTTTGTAGTTGCCTGAGTGTTAGAAGGTTGGATACAGCCTGTGTGCCTACAGGTTGTTTTGTGGAAGGACTTTCATTTGATCACTGCATAATATCTAACCCACTCCTGTTTAGCTGGTATTTGACACAGGGTCTTGTGTAGCTCTAGCTGGCCTAGAACTCATTGTACATCCATGAAGGACCTAGACTATCTAATCCTCCTGCCTCCACATCCTGGGTATTGGTGTGACAGGTGTGAGCCACCAGTCCTGGATGCCCACCTTATTTCTTGAGACAGTGTCAAGCAAACACCCAGGAAACAAGCCTTGACTAATGAGCATTAAACCATGGCTCACATTCCTGATCCTCAAATCAGAGATTTCATTTTCTGGCCTGAATGCCATCTGTTCCCTTTAGACATGCCTGAATGGATCGAAAATCATGCCTGCCCATTTGCTGAATGGTTTCACGGTGACCCTTCACACTGCCATCCCCTGCAGAAGTGTTCAGATCTTTTAACCTCTTTCCAGAGAACATTGGTCCCCTCTTATGGACATGGGAGGATTAGTTGAAGGACTCACTCCCTATAATTAGGGACAGGTATGGTCATGTCTTCTTGTGGCCATGACTGAAGGATGAAGGGTTTGAAAGGTACCTGCACCTGGACCACTCACTAATGTCACAGGAGTTTGGCTAATATCTGGTTAATAATGGCCCACATAAGCACCATGTTCATTGTGAGCTGGGAATAGTTCTTAGCACTTTTGTGTGTCTGCGGAAAGATGGACCATTGTATTTAGTGTTTCTGACTTATCTTTTTCAGGTTGAAAATTGGTGTCCTCGTTTACCTTGGAGAGTGAAAAATCCCTATGAAGAAGCTGATCATAACTCATTGGTAAATGACTTTGGAACACTCCTCCACTTGGTGTGTTTAGATGGTGTGCTAAGTGATGCTCACAGCATCTTTTCAAAGTGCCAGCTGAAATCTCAAGTCTAGCTGGCCCAATCATAGACCAGTTAGCAGAGATTTATTTATTGAACATTTCTCTGAAGGTCCCTTAAAGGATGGGCCACAGAGAGGAATGAGCTCCAGTACCAGATGTGGAGGCCTGGGGGTGATCTAATGAGGAGACTGGCTGTAAATAATGACCAGGCTTGTCTCTCAGGAAGATTACTGAGGAAAGATGGTCTCAGCTTCAGAGGTCAGGGGAAATTCCAAAGAGAAGATGATGGGCTGAAGTTGAAAGGAGGTGGGGGTAGAGAGGTGTGCCTCTATGGGAAGCCTGTCTTTGGTATCACTCTGCAAGGTTGGGTGGGCAAGGTCAGAGGTTTTGGCAAGCTGGGTTGAAGATGCAATTGGAAAGAGGGAGGGGTCCCAGAGACCTTTTAATGCTATCTTGAGAGCTTGGGCATTTTCTTTAGATGTAGCATTTGAAAAACATGGATCATGTTTCAGTGTTTTTACTTGTGTGTCTGTTTTGTTTGTATGCCTGCATGAGTTTGTGTGCAGCGTGTACATACAGGAGGCCACAGAGGCAAGACAATGGCAGTGAGCTGCCTGGCATGGGTGCTGGGAACTGAACCCCGCTGTTCTGCAAGAGCAGTCAGCACCCTTAACCACTGAGTCTTCTCTCTAGCCCAAAGCAGACACTTTCTGTAAAAGGTCAAGTAGGGGTTTGGGGTGTGGCTCAGTTAGAGTGCTCAGCTAGCATGTAAAAAGCCCCAGGTCCAGTACTGTGAACTGGGCTTGGTGGTGCATGCCTGTGGTCCTACAACCTGGGAGGTAGAGGCAGGAGGATTAGAACTCATGATTATCCTTGGCTGCATAGAGAGTTCAAGGCCAGCTTGGGCTACCTGACACCCTTTGTGTACAAAAATAATAGAGCTAGCAGGCAAAGACACCTTCTTACTGCTAAGCCTAAAGGCCTGAGTTTGATTCTCTAGGGACCCACATGGTACACAGAGAAAACCAATTTCTGCCAGTTATCTTCTGGCTTAAACACACATTCCGTGCTCACACATGCACACACATTCTAAGTAAGTAAAAATATAATAAGGGAGCAAAACTGTGAAAGCCAGATAGTGTCTCTGTCTTTGCTGGACATTTAATCTCACAGGTACTCAGTTCTGTAGTGCTAACCCAGAGAGCAGCCATGGATAATATGTAATGAACGGCATGACTGTGTTCCACTGGAATATCATATACACTCACAGGCAGCTAGGAGGAAAGTTCCATGGCCAGGGTTTGTGAAGCCAAGTGTACACTATGGGATATTACTGGGTCAAGGATGGAGACGACTGCTAAGAATGGGCTATGGCGATGGCTAAGAGATGCATTTGGTATGCTTGAGGTTCCACGGGAAACCATGTTCCTCTCGTGTGCTAATCAGGGGCTGCCTCTAGCTATAGTACCCAGAAGACGAGGAAAAACAGTCTTCCTGGACCTTAAATCATGCTGCTCTAAATTTTAAATTTGTGCTCAGCTATGGTAGAAACAAATCCTTTCCCTAGCTTTTAAAATTCCTTAGAAAAAGAAAAAATCATAAATTTTGTTGGTTTGGCCCAAGACAAAAACTAGAAAATGATCATTTATTTCCCATCTCACTCCGGGAGGGCTACTCTCTGGTAGCCCTAACAGTGTTGGCTGGCCTGTTGGAGCTGATGCTTTTTCCTGTGGTCATCCGCCCAGAAGGAAGCTCTAAGACACAAATAAATTTGGTACAGGGAATGTGAAGGTACATGGGGTATATTGATTGTGAAAACTCCATTTCAATGTAGCTCAGGCTTTACAACTTTACTTTCTCAATCTCTAATTTTTAATGATGCCCCTTTTAACAAGCCCACAGTTGGGGTCTTTGTTTTAATTTGCCGTCTTCTTTCTTTTTAAAGTTTTGTCATGACATTTATTTGTGTATGCATGCCACAGCTAGCATGTGGAGACCAGAGGACAACTTGCCGGAGTCAGTTCTCCATCCCCTTCCAGCAAGTGGGTCCTGGGGATTGAACTCAGATTGTCAGGCTGTTTGTTTGGCAAGAGCCTTTACCTGCTGGCCATCTTGTCAACCCCTATCCTCAGTACTCGTGAGTAAGGGCCATATAGAGAGTCAAGATTGACTTTTGAAATCCTGGATTTAATTACTCTCAGATTTAAAATGTCATGCCATGAAAATAATTTTGCATCCCAGCATTTTAATCTTCTGCTCACTTTATTACATTTCTTTCCTCTTTTTGCCCTAGGCGGAAATCCGTACGGATTTTAACAATCTCTACAGCATGATGAAGAAGCATGAGGAGTTCCGGTGGATGAGACTTCGGATCCGGCGAATGGCTGATGCGTGGATCCAAGCGATCAAGTCTCTGGCAGAGAAACAAAACCTTGAGAAGAGAAAACGGAAGAAAGTGAGTTACTTAATTCGGTTCCTTGGTATGGCAGCTTTCTTTTAAAATTTGATTTTGCTTGGAAACAAGGTGAAGAGCGATGTCATGTGTCAAATGATATCCCATCAGAGTCGATCAGCCCAGGGCCTCCACACACCATTCTGAGGTTTTCTTTTTTTCCACAGTCAATGTCTTCCTCTGTCTTCTGTGAATGTATATACAGCTATACTCATCCACGCGTGCACACACACACACACACACACACACAGCCCTATATATACCCCCTACCCACCGCATACACACTATTGATATACAAAACAAGGTAGATGTGACTGAGAAAATACACCCAAGGACAGAAAGGAGTGGGCAATGCTTTCCATCCTTTCTCTCCATCTCTTCCCTTTTCCACCATTTAATTATTTGTCTTACCGTGGAAAAATTATTCATAGCATAACATGGGCACAACATTTTAATGCACATCGTTCAGAAGCAGAAGGAATACATTAGGATGTAGCCATCTTCACCACACGTTCCCACAGGAACGCCCCACCCACCCACACACATGCATAACACAGAAAAGATCTTATCCACTACGACTTAAACATGAGCTTGGACCTCTTCCAGTTTCAGAAATGAGATATCCAGGGGGAGACTGCTTTTGGACCATGTGCATTAAAATGGTGGCCACTATGTTATGCTGTACATATTTTTTCCCACAGTAAGGAAATAATTAAGTGGTCAAAGCTGGGAGGGGGGGTAGGATGGAGTGGATATAGCAGCATAGAAACCAAATTTCTCTCAGTATTTCATATCCAGTACTTGTGGGTCTGACCCAGGGACCATTTATATAATAAGAAACATTTAATTCAGAAGAGCCATATCCCTCCCTCTTTTTTCCTGTTTGTTGGTTATTCAGAATTATTTTTATCTATTATTGTATTTTTCAATGCGTGTTTATATCTAATGAGAGAGAGGAAGAGAGAGTGGGTGAGGAAGTAGAAAGGACGTGAGAGGAGTTGGGGGAGGGGAAACCATAGTCAGAATATATTGTATGGGCGGAGGGATCTATTTTAAATTTAAAAAAGGGAAAAAAATACAAAAAAAAAAAAAAAAACACCCATCCCTGGAAATCCTAAGAAAATGAAACAGCTGAGCTGACTGTATCTATCCAGTTTGGGGGGTGAGCACACAGCAGAGGGTTAGTCACAGAGAAGTGGACAAAGAGAACTTTGAAAACAAAAAAAAAAAATTAACATTTGTATCGTGTCATGTGCCAGAGTCTTGGTAATCTTATTCTAGAGCCATTGTGAGCATTACTGTATAGAAAATGATTTACCATGGTCCTGCTGTTGCGGAGTAGAATTTTCATTGAAGGGGAAAGTAAATAACTGCTGTAAGATAGATGGTATTATCTGAAGCCTCGGGTTTGGATTGACACTACTAGTAAGAATGCATAGTTTATTTTATCTTCGAGGAAAAGTGAAGTTTCTAGCTAGGGCCATTGGAGAATACTGACTCCAAATAGCAATTAAGTAGAGTCCTTTGAGAACTAGCCTTTGATCTTTGAAGGCTGTATCCACCAGGTTGGATAAGTGCTTCTTGGGAAAATGGCTCATTAAGGTCTGAGACAGAAATTGCACTCGAAGAGCTTAGACCATCTTCCCATACCTAAGGACAGAAAAGCTACCAAAGGTTGCTAGGATTCTGGTCAGAGAATGGAGGTACCAGCTGCAACATGTTCCCATGTCCAGACTGGGTCAGTTAGGATGGTCAGAGACCAAACACATGAAACATGCTTATTTCCATGGTTTTACCTTTAAAACCCAAACAGGCCTGGTGGGTCATAATTAGATTATGTTTAAGCAGCAAGCTTGTCGGGCTGGGACGAGAGCTCAGTTGATAAAGAACTCCCCACACGAGCATAGAACCTGAGTTCGCTGCCCGCATCCCACCTGAAAAGGCCAGGTGTAGTGGTGTAGTGGTGCACACTTGTAACGCCAACACTGAGACAAACGTAGGCAGATCCCTGCAACTGTCTAGTCTGTTCCGTCTCCTCTGCACCAACACCCAGCTTTTGTTTGTTTTATTTTTTCTTATTTTACATATCGATCCCATCCCCTTTCCTTCCCATCCTCCCATGCCCCCACCACCAACCTGCCCCCACCCCATTTCCCATCCACTCCCCAGGGAGGGTGAGGCCTTCCCGGAGGGATCCTCAAAATCTGTCAAGACATTTGGAGTAGGGCCTAGGCCCTCCCTCCTGCCTCTAGGCTAAGGGAGTATCCCCCCATGGGGAATGTGTTCCCAAAGTCCTTTCATACATCCTGGTTCCACTGCCAGAGGTCCCTTAGGCTGCCCAGGCCTTCTAACTGAGACCCACGTTCAGGGAAGCTGGGTCTCAGTCCTATGCTGATCTCCCAGCTATCAGACTGGGGTCCATGAGCTCCCACTTGTTCAGGTCAGCTGTCTCTGTGGGTTGCTCCAGCCTGGTCTTGACCCCTTTGCTCATCACTCCTCCCTCTCTGCAACTGGATTCCAGGAGTTCAGCTCAGTGTTTAGCTGTGGGTGTCTGCTTCTGCTTCCATCAGCTACAGGATGAAGGCTCTAGGATGGCGTATAAGGTAGTCATCAATCTCATTATGGGGGAAGGGCATTTAAGGTAGCCTCTCCACTCTTGCTTAGATTGTTAGTTGGGGTCATCCTTGTAGATCTCTGGACATTTCTCTAGTGCCAGATTTCTCTTTAAACCTATAGTGGCTCCCTCTATTGTGGTATCTCTTTTCTTGCTCTAGTCTATCCATCCCCCAACTCAATCTTCCTGGTCCCTCATGTTCCCCTCTCCCCTCTTCTCTTTCTCCTAACTCCCTCTCCTCTCCTGTCCCCCCCTCCCCAGTACGCTCAGGAGATCGTGTCCCTTTTCCCTTCTGTGGGGGACCTTGTATGACTCGCTTAGGGTCCTCGTTGTACCCTAACTTCTCTGGCGGTGTGAATTGTAGGTTTACACTCAGCTTTTGTATCTGGGCTCCAGGGATTGGAACTCAGATCCTCATATTTGTTCATCAGGTTCTTTACTGACTGACCCAGCCATGTGTTCTGTTTTTAAAAATCAGGATAATCTGTCTATAGCTCACATCCATGGCTCTACCAAGAGCGGTTCATGGTTTTAGTGTTTGTCTAAAACAGGGGTTAATTATTTGTTTCCTTGTTTTATACTCTTGAGAAAACTGACAGCCATACTGAGATTTCAGTGGCTCCTGTAGGATGGACCAACTGCTCTGTGGTGTGCAGGGACTTGACCATGGCTCTAGAAGTCAGTATGTATTTCCTCTTTGTTTTCCAGATCCTTGTTCACCTGGGGCTCCTGACCAAGGAATCTGGCTTCAAGATTGCGGAGACAGCATTCAGCGGTGGCCCCCTTGGTGAATTGGTTCAGTGGAGTGACTTAATTACATCTCTCTACCTACTGGGCCATGACATCCGGATCTCAGCTTCACTGGCTGAGCTCAAGGAGTAAGGAATTACTTTTTCAATTTGAAAATCAGAACACAAAAAAATTAGTGTGCTGTTTCTCGTGGAGGAAAACTAGAGCGATAATTCTAAACAGGCAATAAGAAGATTATTTTCAGGAGCTAACTACATACACTAGGAAAAGGATAATATGTTTTCATTGGCTGCAGGCTCCAGGGCCTCATAAATGAACACCAGGAAATCTCAAACTAAGGCGTTTATTCTTTGCTGTTCCAGGTGTTTCCAACATCTGCAAGGCGATACTCTATTGACTTGCCTAATTCCCCGCCTCTCGCCAAAACTCATACTACTCCCTGCTCAACATCAAGCTTTCTAAAGCTCAAAACAGGGCCAGTTCCTGTTTATAATTTGAATAAAATGGATTTCGCAAAAGCCGGGATCCAATCCTCCCGCAATTAGCTCACTCCTAGCTCAGTCTGTTCTCTTCCCTGAGTTTTCCATCCCTCTGAGGTTTGCGTTCAGGGCTCGCCCCCTCAGTCCCTTTTCAGTTGATACAGCCGGCCAAACAGATGAACTGGGGTCCCCACAGTCCCCAGAAAACTGCCAGCAGACACTTCTAACTCAGAATGCAAGTTGTCATGTCACTGCGCCAGCCTTTGGGAGGACACTCTAGCGATGGCAGAGAGCATGGGACCCCCTGTCCCCACTGTGTGATTGACACACCGAGGTGGTTGGCCATATACTGACCCGAAAGCAGTCATGTCTGAAGAAGAAAAAAAATCTTAGCAATCCTCTCGTTGATTTCCAGATGCCAGCAACATGCTAAAGGTCTGCGCACAGCAGAAATACCAGGGAGTATGCCAGCAATAGGGTTGATGGGGACTATTTTTATGTTGAGACACTAGGTCTATGTAGCCTGGGCTGCCTGGCCTCAAGCTCAATATATGTCGTTGAAGAGGACTTGGAATTTCTGATCTCTGCGTCCACCTCCCCAGGGCCGTGCACCTCTATGTCTGGTTTATGTGACAATGGGTGTGGATCCCAGGGTCTTGTGCATGCCAGGTGCCCTCTGCACCAATCAGCCCCACCCTAGCACCGATGGTAGCTATTAAATCTATGGTGAGCCACTTACTGTGTGTTCAGTACTAAACACTTGGTGGTTCTAGTTAAGTTTCATTTTGTGTATGACTGTGTGTGTGAGCATGTGGGCATGTGTACCTCAGTTCACGTGGAGGTCAGAGGACAGCTTTCCGGAAGTCAGTTCTCTCCTCCCACTGTGGGTTCCAGCCACAGAAGGAAGCAGGAGCTTTTCCCCAAGAAGCATATTGGCAGCTGTGTATTTTATTGTATCGTCTAGAAGCAGCAGGTTTCACCCAGGAAGCATCTCGGCTTCCCATTTATTGTATTGTATTTAAACTTCAGCACCTGAGGATGCTTTTGCCATTTGTGTTTTAGAGCCGAGGAACCTGGGGCTCAGACTGAACATGAACTAACTGTCCGAGGTCACACAGGGCTGCCTGGATCTGAGCTTGGCCCTGACTTCTCTGCAGCCTTTTTACAACAGGCCTCCCTTTCTCCTTCAGGGTTAGACGAGCTTGAGGTCCTTTGTGTCTCAAGTGGTCTCCTCTTCTTTACCAGACCTGCCTCCTGTTGCTTTCCTGCTTGCTTTAAAATACATGGAGCACAAGACCTATAAAGTTTTATGCATTTTACAGCCACTCTGTCCGCCTTCTGAGGGCCGGGATTCAAAATGGGGCCCGCCAAGGTGACCGTCATGTTGTTACTCAGCTGCCAATCTTTTGACAGTCACAACCGGTGCACTGAATAAGAATCATACTAATTACATGTCTGTTAATGCTAATTGACAGTGGGTGCTAGAGCGTAAGTACGGGCAGCGCTGAGCCTTGGGTCTCCCCACTGACACGTAGCGCCTAGCATACCCTGGCTCCTGAAGGAATGAGATGAGGGGTGTGGCAGTAAGTAGGGGGTAGGCAGGGGTACAAGAATGGCGCTTAGAATAGGTATATTAGGCATGACTATTGCGGGGACTCACTTGATGGTCAAAGGCAAGTCAATGTCGGTCTTTGTGGATACCGGGCTGAGGGCCATATGTACTCTTTTTCTGGATGTAGGGCCATTGAGACAGGTCTCATGTAACCCCGGCCCCTCTAACTTGAACTCAAAGTTCAAGTCGAGGATGGTCTTAAACTCCTGATCCTCCCGCCTCTACCTCCTGAGTGACGGTATGCCAGGAATGCTCCACCACACCCAGTTTATGTGGTGCTGGGGATGGGACCCAGGGCTTCTAGGCAAGCACTCTGCCCACATCCACAGCTCCTGGATGTGCCTTATTTAAAGTGAGCATTACAGAAGCAACACAGAGAAACAGAGCAGCAGTTCTTTGCTGCCCATTAGAATTGCTTGGGGAAATTTTTTCATTTCACTTTCTCAGAGATTTGGGGATCTCCTTAAAATCCTGGAACAGAACATTCCCAGGGTGATTAAATCACAACATTTGAAAAATGCCACAGCTTAAATCCTCTGCGATGCTCTGTAGGCAGTTTTACTGTTAAACAAGGTTGAGAACCGGTGAGCAAGGTGGACCCCGGGTAGAAGCCACAGTCAAAGGCCTAAAGCCAGCCTGCAGAGTCACACCCAGTGTGACTTTAACTCGAGGTTGTTTCCACCCTACAGTGGTCAAATTGAATATGGAAAGTATTTATTATCCAGCCTTTCATAGAAAGTTTTCCAGCTGTTCAGAAAAAAAAAAAAATCCGTTCAGTAGAGCTAGGATATTTTTTTAGAAGCCCAGAAGGAGCAGAAGGTGCCTGAAGCTGTGGGTGTAAGGAACTGTGGAATAGTTTGTGGTCCCTGTCATTCAAAAGTGGGACTTTTGTAAATGGTCACAGGTATGAGCAGGGATAAGGGTCCCAGATGTGGGTGACTGGTTTCTGGGTACATGGCAGTTACACGGCAGACTTCTTGTGACTAATCTAGTTCACACAGCAGTCGCCTGTGTTGTCAGCCACGGCAGTTTGGATGCCAGGGTAGAGAGAGGGTGGGTCAGTGGCTGAAAGGGTAGATAATGAGAACCTCTAAGCCACAGGGCCGGTTCTGTAATGAGTCGCTCACACAGTGCAAACATGTGTGAGGGACTGGGAATTGAAGGTGTTCAGGGAATACAAATGAAAGTGAGAGAATGCCATAGTGTTTGTGTTGGTTGTCTGACTTTTTCTGGGGCCCTGTTCGCCAGGCCCCAATGAAAGATCAAAGAAACGAGTCCAGCTTAGCAAGCCAGTGAATTTATTGGGGTTACTTCACAAGATTGTGGATGACTCAAAGGCATCTGCATCACTAAAATGCCCACCCCTGCATGGGTAGCAACTCATTAAAGCTGTATCCCTCAAGCTCCCTGCATGATGTGCAGGCAGCTCTATAACCTCGGGGAGGGTCCTTGGGAGTCTTGTGCTTTAGGAACTTCCTGGGACTTGTGAGTTTCATTTACTTCCTGGACCTTGTAGGTTTTATTTCCCGAGGCTTAAAGAGCCCCTTTCCAGGAGTGAACGTTTGAATCTGGGGGAGATATCCGCACATCACTATTCAGTCACCTCCCCCAACGCTGGAGGATGATGAGAGGGAAGATTCAGAATCAGGTTATCTGCCTCATGGTTAGCTCTCTCAGCGTCTGCTCCACAGAGGAGATGGGTAACACACATTGCTGAACTTCACAGGTTGTGTTTGTGCACCAGCATCTAACCCCTGCCCCCTCCCATTCCCGGTCAGAATGGGGACTCTGAAGGGTTGAGACAGGCTTGGAGCATCAGCCCATCATCTCTAATCGGGACTTGGTGTGTGCTTTGAACCTGTCACGTTTGCCTGGGTTAGCATTGTCAAGTTACCGATGTCCTTTCTTTTTGTCCCTGTTTGCCCCACTCCAGGATCATGAAGAAGGTTGTTGGAAATCGGTCTGGCTGTCCTACTGTAGGAGACAGGATCGTTGAGCTTATTTATATCGATATTGTGGGACTTGCTCAATTTAAGAAAACTCTAGGACCATCCTGGGTTCATTACCAGTAAGTACTATATGCTAAGACCTAACATACAGTCCCCTAACAAGGACTGCATCAGTTTGTTTGTTTTTAAAGGATGAAGGATGAGTAAATACTATCTTTTGAACTGTACTTTTTCATTCCTAATGGAGTGTACTTTTTCGTTCCTAATGAAATTCAGGCTCTTCCCACTGCCTGTCTGCCTCCTGGGACTATTCATTATTTCTATTGATGTTCTGAAAATAGAAAACAGGTGTCCAGCCAGGCATATTGGCACATGCCTTTAATTCCTGCACTCAGGAGGCAGAGGCAGATATCTGTAAGTTTAAGGCCAGCCTGATCTACATAGTGAGTTTCAGGACAGCCACTGATACATAGTGAAACCCTGTTTTTTTTTTTTTTTGTTTGTTTTTTTTTTGTTTTGTTTTGTTTTGTTTTTTTAAAGGATAAAGAAAGGAAATGTGAAACAAAACAGACATCTGTCTTCCCCAGTACCTAGCATTCCTCTCTTTGTATACCCAAAAGGGTCTCATGTATTTAATCAAATAATGATTTTTCTTATTTACTTCTCTGCTTATTTGTTTATTGTGTGTGTATGCATTCATATTTGTGTGAATGTGTATGTATGTGCATGCCACAGCATGCATGTGGAGGTCAGAGGATTTTCACCTTCCACCTTGAGGAGGCAGGGTCTCATGGATTCCGCAGCTGCAAAGCTAAGTTCAGGATAACTGTCCCATGATTTTGTCAGTGCTGGTGATACGATGGAACCCAGGACTTCATCCATGATGGATGAGCTACATCCCGCACCTTTTCCGTTTGTTCCTGAATTTTAAATTAATGGGTAGAAATATTTTTGATGTGGTCTTCTGGGTTAACTTTGTCACTTTACCAAACACCTGAGCAAAATACCTTACGAAGAAAGTTTTATTTTGGCTTGTTCAATCTCCTTGGCATTTCCCCCATTTCATTGGAGTTGTTAATCAAGAAGAACCATCATATACTCTAATTCAATACATAAGTATCCTAAAGTAGGCTCATATCTTTTGTGTTAGTTACAGTTAATATTTTTAAACTTTAAACCCCGAAGATTATTTTAGACTGGAAGTCCTTTATGAATCAGACAAAAATGAGAAGTAAACTGCAAAGAATTTTCCCAAAAATTCAAGGCCTGACAATGTCTATTGTTTATAAAATTCTCTTTCAAACTTTACCCCCAGTAGCAATGATTTTCTCACTGGACAATGAAATATATATATAGCAGAGGGACTGATGGGGTAGACACTGTGTTAGAGGTCCGAGTGTTCTGTGTTGACTGTATTAATGACTCCGATGGCTGTTGATTGCGTTATCTGTGTTGGCTTTACTGACTGACTGTGTTATCTGTGTTGTATGACTGTTGACCATGACGGCTGACTGCGTTGAATGCTTGTGTTGACCTTGTTGATTGTGCTGGCTGTGTTGAATGATTGGTGAATGCCTGTTGGCTGTAATGGCTGACAGTTGGATGTATTGACCTTGTTGATTGTGCTGGCTGTGTAGAATGATTGGTGAATGTCTGTTGGCTGTAATGGCTGACAGCTGGATGTGTTGACTGGTGAATGATTGTGCCTGCTGTGTTGACTGTGCTGGCTGTGTTGAATGACTATGACTGCTGTGGAGACTGAGCTAACTATGTAGACTGCTGGCTTTGTTGATCATGTAGACTGACTGTTGACCATGCCAACTGTGTTGATTGACTGTGATGATTGTAGTGACCGTGTTGAGTATGTTGTTCTTACAGTCTCTGCCATTATTTTCCTCTCCTTGGGCTCTTACCATTCTTTTTGACTTTTAGGAAAGTTTGAGCCGGGATAATGTTTTCTCCTTTTTGTTAGTTTTTTATTTTGATCGCGTGTATGTGCATGTATATGTCCATGCACACATGTGTGTAGGTGTGCATGCATATGGAGGCCAGAGAACAACCTTGGGTGTCATTCTTCAGAAACACCCTCCACTTATTTTTGAGATAATCTTTGGTTGGCCTGGAACTGGCCTCCGGGCTAGGTTTGCTGGCCAGTGAGGCTCAGGGACACACTTGTCTTCACTCCCCTGGCATTGGGTTTCCAAGCATGCACCAGGCACTGCACACACTGTACCATCCATCTCCTCAGCTCCAGCACTCCAGTCTGTCTTTGCTGTCATGTTTTCCCTATTAGTGGTTTGCTTTTCTTCTTCACAGATCATAAGCCATCGCTTTTAGTTGTATAGAAATAGCTATCTTTCTCCTTGGTTAATAAGCCATATTGTAAACACAGTTTTTTCTTTGGTGATAGCCTTAAGGGAAGAAAGTCAGGGTTGTTCCTTTCTGTCATTTTTATCAATGGTAGACATCTGGAAAACATGCAGAGAAAAGTGGGCAGTCCAGGCCTCCATAGACTCTCATGCCCTTGTTATTAAGAAGGGCTGTTTAGATGGAAAAATATTCTCAGTGGTGGTGTTTGGGTCAATTAAGAAAGGCCATGTCATTATTGAAATGGTCACTGTTGATTGGTATTTGGTGCTTGCTGCGTGAAAATGCTCCATCTCTGGGGGCTTATGGATGTATGGATGTGCATAATGTTTTTCTGTCTTTCTTTAGTAATGGTCTGAATTAGCAGTAAACAGCAGGCGGTCTCTCTGTGCTATAGCCCTCCGTCTTTGTTTTGTGGCAAAGCTACGGTTTCATCAAATGACAAGCAGGCTTCCTAGAATTTTCTTGCCTACTTCTTTCCCTTTAAATATGAAAAGTTGCATCTAGGGATAGAGTTCATTTGTAGCACACCTGCCTGTTGTATATGAAAGCCTTGGATTCCATCCCCAGCATCCAATAAATCAGGTGTGGTAGTGCCTGCCTGTAATCCCAGCACTCAGGAAGTAGAGACAGGAGCATCAGAAGCTCAGTCATCCTTGAGTACGTAGGGTATTTGAGGGCAGCCCTATCCCCAAAACTAAGAGGATGGAGGGGGGTACCAATGAGATGGCTCAGTTGGCAAAGTCTGGCTGTGCAACATGAGGACCTGAGTCTGGATCCTTGCATCTACATAAAAGCCCATGTGGTGGTGCACATTTGCAGTCCCAGTGTGGAGAAGCTGAGAGAGGAGGCTCCTGGACCTCTCAGGCCAAATACTCAGTGAGTTCTAAATTCAATGACAGACCCAGTCTCAGAAAATAAGATGGAAAGCTACGAAGGAACCTCTGGCCTACATGCATACACACACATCCCACATGTGTATGCACACGAACACATACATGTACAACCACACATGAACTCACATGTAGGAACATGCACACACATACACAACACACACATGCACGAAGGGGCCAGACCGTGGTCACCTTTCTTGATGGCAGGTGATGGGAACTCCATATTGCGAGGTGTCATCAGATCTTTCAATGAGCAGCAAGCCCCTTAGGTCTGTTGACCTTGGAAAAAATACTTATAAATTCTGTCTAATTTGCACAACAACCTAGAAAATTCAATTCAACACTTATTAAATGCTGACATGCTACTAGTACTCCAGCATGATCTACAGCACTCACAACCCATCTGCTCCATAGGCGATTCCTTTGCTGAGTGTTAAAAACTTCTAAGAGATGTGAGATACAAATGGATCACAGCATGCCAGCCTTTACACCAGACTCCCAGCTAGAAAGTAGACCCTTTGCTTCTGAGCATCTTTCTCACTGTAGTATAGCCTCAAGAGACAATGTTCCAGGAGTCATTTGGCACTGTTGTGAGGGCTCCATTAGAGGAAGGCCAACTGCCTTGGGCACTGGGGATAATACACGTTCACATCATTTCAGATACACAGAGGGCATCCAAGCAGTGGCATAATATTAATAGCGCACAACACAGGTACAAGATAGTTTCAAGATAGAGCCAAGGACGACCTTGAACAAGAAGCCCCCTGAGTCTGCCTCCCAAGGATGTGGCTTCTGGGGAATGACACCAGAGTTTGACTTCTGGCCTCCATATACATGCATGAATATGCACGCACACTTGTGAACATGCACAAACACATACGTGTACACATGAATATACTCATCCCCGAAAGAGAGGCCTGTCAGTCTACTGAGAGTAGCTCCAAGAAAGCCACATGAGATCGCAAGTGAGGACATTGTCCGGGTCAGCTCACAGTTTCTCTGTAGCCATGGCCTCCCCTCCTTTTTGTCTTTTTCTTGTCTAGGAATTCCAATTGACAGTTGTATTTCCTGGAGGATGTAATCTGGTAATTGGACATCAATGGTTTTATTTTGTTTTCAGAATCCTATAGCAGAGCAAAAATTTAGAATAGCTTCCTGGTAATAAGAAACGGAAGAAAGAGAGAGAAAGAGTCCTTAAAACTGTTTCCACCATCTGTGCTCAATGTGGGCTTTAATTTTCATTTGGTTTGCTGTGTTTTGGCCCAGTGGAAGTTGCTCAGAAGTGTACTGAGAGAGGACAACAGCAAACAGAAGCGTCTCCACTGGCCAACACCCTGAGCAGTGCAGCCCAGATCAATAATGTTGGTTCCTTAATCCCTTTCTCCCAGTTAGCCTTTGTGTCCTCTCCACCTGTGGTTGGAACGCTTCCTTTGGAAAAGGCTAGCTTGTGAATAGTTTGCAACCATGCATAGCTTCCGCAGCAGTTTGAAGACTGTCACCAACTCACAGAGAGAATATCAACAGCAGAGCGACCAGGTTCCAATAAAACTTTTTTTCCACTGCAGAAATAAGAACTTCATGGAATTTTCCTCTGTCATGTTTGAGAATCTGTAGCCTTGATGGGGAAAGATCTCAGTCAGTGACGTGTTCTGTGGTGTTCCAGGACCTGGGTTCTGTCCTCAGAGCCTACATGACAAAGCTGGATATGTTGGTACCTGCTTGCAACACCAATGCTGAGGGGATTGGGGACCCAGGGATCACTAGGGCTCCCTGGCAAGCCAGTCTAGCCTATTTGGCAAATTTCAGGTCAGCAAGAGATCTTCTCTCAAAAGGAGCCAAGATAGATGGTACCTGGGTAATAACAGCCCAAAGTTGACCTCTGACCTACACACACACACACACACACACACACACACACACACACACATACACGTTCTTACCTATGTACATGTGCACATATACAAATGCATACCCATGTACACAAAAGAATATAAAAGTAATTCTTAACTCTCAGCTACACCAAAATAGCTGATAGAGCAGGTTTGGCTCAGTGGAATAGACCCAAGCAACTGCATTGTTCTGTGTCAGCTCTGTCAGCTCTAAGCTGGCCTTGCAAGCAAGCCCTATTATATTATCGTTGGATATGTAAAAGCTACCCCTGCCTTGTAAATGAGATTGAAGTCTTTTTTTGTGGTATTACAACATAATACTGGAGCCAGACTTGATCATTGTGAAACAGAATTTATTTCTCATTGTTGGAAGCTAAAAAGGCCAAGATGGAATGGCCCCTATCCAGTCCAGTGAGGGCCGGATCCTACTGTGCAAAGTCCTGCTTGGATCTCCAGTCATCTTCTTTTAAAGCCACTAGTTAACTCCCAGAAGCCTGCTTTCAAATATCATCAATTCACCAATACGAAGAGCACCTTCCCAGTATGCAGCACATACAGTAACTGTGTCCAGTATGAAACAAATAGCGTAGCTGTGTCCAGTATAAAACCAGCAGATACTGTAGCTGTGTCCAGTATGAAACCAACAGATATTATAGCTGTGTCTGGTATGAAACAAATAGTGTAGCTGTGTCCAGTATGCAGAAGATGCTGTAGCTGTGTCCAGTATGAAACCAGCAGATACGGTAGCTGTGTCCAGTATGAAACCAGCAGATACTGTAGCTGTATCCAGTATGCTGCAGATACCTGTAGCTGTGTCATTAGCATCTCCTAAGAATAAATGATGTAGCTAATTGATGTAAAGGTTGACAGAGGCCAAAAGTTCTGAAGCATGTCCTATGGTCTAAGCAGAATAAGAGCTGTAGAGATAATGGCATTTTATTTCTTTCATCACATTGATTAGGCACATACTGTATGCCAAGTCATCCCTGGGTGTTAAGCCCCCTGCAGTAAATCCTTCAGGCCCCTTGCAGAACTCATGGACGTTTACTTCACTGGTATTTGAGCCAGTGGCGAGCCAGTTCTGTCTGCTGAGGCCTTCTTTACAAAATGAACAAGAAAATAAGACCTGTGCTTGTTTTCTGGGGCAATTTTACTTTCAAGCATTTGTCCATCTGCTTTTCTCTCTCAAACTATAGCATCTAGCATGGAGGTTACAGTTTGACACACAGCACTTTCCTTTCAGGTGCATGCTCCGAGTGCTAGATTCCTTTGGAACAGAACCTGAGTTCAATCATGCAAGTTATGCCCAGTCGAAAGGCCACAAGACCCCCTGGGGAAAATGGAATCTGAACCCGCAGCAGTTTTACACCATGTTCCGTGAGTATTCATGTGTGGTCCCTGCCTTTCAGAAAGCTGCCCAAGATAGGTGCAAAGGTTAACTAGGGAGCCATCTATCTGGAGTTGTGATTCTCAGGACCCTTAACTGAAAAAGTATGTACCATTCAACTCGGGAATAATTGGATCCTTTTTTTTTTTTTTTTTTTTTTTTCTGTAATTAGAATTGAAAGCACCTCCTGAACATTGTGTGAATAACCTTAGAAATGTCCTAGGGAAAATGGTTCAATACAAATCGCCAGTAGAAACCACATGGGAAAAGCCTTTGAATGAACAGTCACTAAGCATGTCCCAGGACCATATCCCCACTGCTAAAGGGCTACTGCATCCTTAAGAGGAATAAGGCCTTCCATGGCAACCCACTTTCCACACAGATCAATCTTAATTGTTTGGGCGTGAAGCTTTTAAAAGAAAAAAATAGCTGGGCATGGTGGCACACATGCCTTTAATCCCAACACTTGGGAAGCTGAGGCAGGTGGATTTCTGTGAGTTTGAGGCCAACCTGGTCTATAAAGTGAGTTTCAGGACAGCCAGGGCTGTTACACAGAGGAACCCTATTTAAAAAAAAAAGAAAGAAAGAAATGAAGGAAGGGAGGGCAGGAGGAAGGAAGAGAAAGAGGAAGGAAGGAAGGAAGGAAGGAAGAAAGGAAGGAAGGAAAGAATGAATATTCTCAGAGCTGGGGAGATGGGTCAGTGGGTAAGCACTAGCTGTGTAAGTTTGGGGTTTGGAGACCAGAGTTCTTATATCCAGAACATATGTAAATGCCAGTAAAGAGTAGTGGCATGCATATGAATCCCAGCCCTCCCTGAATGGAGATGGGGTTCCCAGAGCAAGCTGGCTTGCTAGAGTAGCCAAATCTGTGAACTTTGGAATAGACAAGCCAGAGAGACTGTTCCAATGTGGAAAGTGGAAAACAGCTGAAGAATACACCTGACATAAACCTCTTGCCTCCAAATGCACAGCACACAGACATGCATATATGGATGTGTACATGTACCCACACATATGAATATACATGCATGTGTGCCTTCTAAATTAGAACGATTTTAAACCCAGTTTCATGCATTGCTGGATGCTTAATTCCTGGACTCACACTATTTTGCCTCCTCTCACTGTCCTTGCTGATGTTGTGTATTGTTTGATAAAGCTTATGCAGCAAGGGCTTTTTCTATGTGGCCCAGAGAATCGCCTCCAAGAGCTATGGCTTTAGTGTCAAGTGAGTGATGTTATTGAGCAAGTGTCAAGCAAAAGTAAAAGCGGTTCATCAGTTTGGGCCCTTACAACATCCAGCAGACAAGTGGAGTAGCCCGATTGCACAAACAGGGGTGTCGTCATCAAGCTGGGTCTTACAGCAGAGACCGCTGAAGAAGAAACAGTTGTGCTGAGATCTCCATTGAGCATCTCTCCACTGAGTAGCTTCCAGTTCCCACCCGAGACATTTTTGTACATGGAATAAACAGTGGCATTGACTGGAAAGGGCTTGTCCCTCTGGCTGCCCTCAAGGGCATGGTCCAAAGGTTGTTTTGCCATTCTCCTTTCTCTGTCACAGGTTCAGGGGGCCTTGCAGGACCCTTTGAGGCAGTGGTGCTTGGGTCTGAAATAGGGGATTCCAACCTTGCTTCCAGCACCGTCTTCTCCTTGTGCTCAAACCGTCATGACAGTTAGCCAGCATGAGGGATGCTGCAGAGCTTCATGAGAGTTAGCCAGCATGAGGGATGCTGCAGAGCTTCATGACAGTTAGCCAGCATGAGGGATGCTGCAGAGCTTCATGACAGTTAGCCAGCATGAGGGATGCTGCAGAACTTCATGACAGTTAGTCAGCATGAGGGATGCTGCAGAGCTTGCCCTGACCGATGCTTCTGGGCTCTGAGACGTCTCCACTTAGCCTTCCCTGCCATTGCTGTGTCTTACTTCTGCCCTCCACCTTCCTGGTTTTGCTTTGCTTCTGATTAGCCAAGGACTGTGGGACCAAGTACCGAACCAGACAGTGTTTGTGCCGAAGTTAATTTATGATCAAGTCCCCACCCCTACGAGAAGGGAAGTTTCCATCCTGGGAATGAAAGGCCATGTGAATGACACCGTTTCTCTGAAGGCTAAGGGTAGAGAACCGCCCCTTTCCGAAGCTATTCAGTATGATTTCATCTAGAGGTCCCCGCGCTAGAATGAATTTCTGAAGTGTCGGTCTAATTTGCTTGGCTGATAAACTCAGCTATACATGCCTGTGTTGATGTTCTCCCTCATGCATCTTATGCAGCTGACCAAAGATGACCCCTTGCTCAGCCCCTAAATGTTTCAGTGAACACATTAGACTCATAATCCTAGGGCATTAGGTCTTGGGGAGGATTAAGAAGGGCACATAGCTGGTAAGGTAGCAGTTTTAAAAACCAACTCATGTGATGGGCTGGGGAGATGACTCAGTTGGTAGAGTGCATGTAAAGACAGAGACAGAGAGACAGAGGGACAGAGACAGAGCGAGAGACCTGTTTAAATGTTCTTTTGGGCCCAGAGAGTTTGGTAAGAGCATGCTGTGTGTATGATAGACATTATTATTATTGGAGTTATATTGTCCTATTATTGCCACCTGTCCCAGGGGCACAGTCGAGGGAACAAACTAATATTTGGCACACCAGGTAACAGATGGCTGTCAGCATGGCAAGGCATGATAAGAGTCTGCCTGGGGTTTGACTTTGCTATGAAATTCTGAGTCTGGTAGAAGTGTGCCAGCCAATCAGCTAAGCTATGACCTGTGTTAGGACAAGTAAGGTAAAACTTGTGCTGCCATGCACTTTCCAATCGTGGCAGCAGTAGCCTGTGCCCTGCCCCCCGAAGGGAGATGCCGTGTTCTCCTGGAGAGGAATGGGGTTCGGCACCCTGCAAACCTCCTTCAATTCTGTGGATGGAGGCTTTCAGAAGTATGAGCTCCTCCAGGTGAAAGAAGGTCTCTGTTTAAAATATAACGAAAGACAGAAACGGAAAGTACTTTCTCTTAACCCGGGAGAGGGATACGGTTTGTGGGTTCACCAGAACTCAGAGGGAAAGTTGAGACAGCTGAATGGCTTTCAAGAAAAGAGCCCACAGAGCAAAACATTACCAACCACCCATGACACTGAAAATAAACAGTGTAGTAGGAAATGTTTACGTGGTTATTTGAGATTGAGGAATGTGGAGGACCCGAGATATCCGTGCACAAGAAAGGCATATTTACAGCATCGATGTGAACACCTCAGGTGATCTTCAGTTTCAAAAGGCTATTAGTGAACTCATAAAAATGAAACATTGGGCCGGGAGATGGCTCTGTTACTAAAGTATTTGCCACACAAGCCCGAGGACCTGAGTTTGAGCCCCACAAGACAAGTAAAAAGCTGGGCATATTGGCACAGGCTTGTAATCCCCGTGCAAAGAAGACAGGGAAAAGTGCATCCCTGGGGCTTGCTGGCCAGCCAACTTAGCTACCTCAGGGTCAGGTCAGTGAAGACACCCTGTCTGCAGAAATCCAGGTGCATGGCACCTGAGGAGTGGCATTAAAGGTCCTCTTCTGACTTCCATACATACATCCACAGAACGCACAGACACACACAGCATAGCACAGAACAGCACAGCACACACCAATTAAATGTTTTCAATTCTGTACCTTGAAAAGGACCAAACGTTCAGCCAGCCTAATGAGGGGCCCTGAGTGTGCAAGCCTTTCAGATCAGGTTTCCCCAAACACCTTTTTCCATATAGCAGAGCCTCCTTCTAGAATAGTTCAGATTGCAGAAGTGAGGTAGGGAAGGCAAGGGAGACAGGAAGGACCATGGGGATGGTATCAGGAGTTGATGAGACCCCCCCCCCCCAAACAGCACCAAAAGAACACTGGCTACAGTGTATTAAAACCAAACAAATGAAAAATAGTCAGTAGATCTGGGGCTGTAGCTCAGTCAGTTCATGCTTGGCTAGAGTGCACACGCCCTGGGTTCCATCCCTAGCACCATATAAACTGGGCATGGTGGTGTACACCTGTAATCCCAGCACCTGGGAGGTATAAGCAGGAGGATAAAATGGTCAAAATGATTTGGCTATAATAAGTTCAAGGCTAACATGAGATACATGAGACCCTACCTTTAAAAAAAGAAAAAAAAAAAAAAAAAAAAGAAAAAGAAAAAAAAAAGAGGAAAAAAAGGCAGCTGTTGACTCCAGATATGATGATATGCCAAGCAAGAAAATGTAGTGGGTCACCTTTGCAAGTTGCTAGGATACCAACTCATTACTCTGAATAATAAAGGGGGAAGAGCCCAGCTTTGATCTTCCTGCCTTTCTAGCACAAATTATATTCGAAGATAATCAAATGGTTGATGATAAGAAACTGTTAATGATAGGGAAAGCGGAGCTGCAAATGCAAGTAGAATGAAGGATTAGAGAGTGAGCACCTTCAAACCCCTGATGAGATTGCAGATCTAAATAATCATCACACCACCAAACCCATCAGGTTACAAGTTGATGGAGAACTTTTCATGGCCGGGGCTATCTTCAAAGCAGGAAGTACGGAAAGAAGTTGGGAGATGAGGTACTGTGAGACATTCATCAAGACAAGCTGAGGCTGGAGACTTTCCAATAGACAACAGTGTCTGTAACTCACTCTCCAGACCCTGCCCCCTGTGACTTTCAATTCTCTGGTCAAGAGGTTTCCTCCTTCCCCTTGTGACAAGACCAGTTTGCTGGGTGGCTGTGTCTGTGCTGATGATCTGTAGTTGAAGACCGTTACTTTGAACAGAGAAGAAAAGAGTCAAGATGTATCTTCTTTTTTCTTTTAATATTTTAAGAATAGGGTCTCATGTATTTCAGGCGAGCCTTAAACTTGATGTGTAGCCAAGGGTGACCTTGATTTCCTGATCCCCCGTTTCCACCTCAGGACTACAGGTGTTACAGGCATGAGCCACCCACCATATCCAATTCATACAGTGCTGGGGCTGAAATTCAAGGCTTCAGGCCTACAGAGCAA